CATGCTTTCAGGGGACATCTATGTCAATTGGCATAACAAACCTTATTAAGAAAATGTTCTGCATCCTCTGGTGAGTGGCATCTGGGGTCTTAAAAGCTTGCAAGCGGCCATCTGAGATGCATCAATTGCTCCCAACCACTTGGAGTAAAGGAGAATGAAGAACACCAAAGACGCAAGGAAAGTATTGGCCCAAGAGACAGAATGGGCCACATAAACCAGAGAGTTCATCAGCCTGAGAGACCAGAAGAACTAGATGGTGCCTGGCTACCACCAATGAACATCCTGACAGGGAACACAACAGAGGTTCCCTGATGGAGCAGTAGAATGATGGGATGCAGAACTCAGATTCTAGTAAGACCAGACTTAATGGTCTGACTAAGACTGGAGGCATTCCGGAAAGCATGGCCCCTGGTCTCTCCATCACCCCAGAACTAAAACAATTTCCGAGGCCAACTCTTCATACAGGGATTGGACTGGACTGTGGGGCATAAAGTGATACTTGTGAAGAATGTGCCTCTTGGACAAGTAGATACAAGAGACCAAAGGGCCGGCTCCTGTCCAGAGGTGAGAGGGGAAGGCAGAGAGAGTTAGGAGCTGGTTGAATGTTCATGGGGAATCGGGTAGAGGGGAGGAGTGTGCTGTTGCAGAATGGGGTGAGCGGTTGGGGTCTTATAACAATGTATGTTAAAAAAAAAAAATTCTGTATGGGAGACTAACTTGAAATGTAAATGTCATTTAATTACAACAATAAAAAAATTGATTAAAATGAAGACATTTACATTAGTTATCTTCTTAATACCTTAAGATTTCTGCAGATAGTAAACTCTTTCTCTGCTGGTGACTTGTATTTGATGTGATGCTCATTTACTGCAGCTTATTTTCTGCCTCTGAGGACACATGCACATTTCATAGGAGTAGGATGAAAATTTAAATAGCAGAGTCCTAGACTGTAATTCAGTACTTTAAACTTTAATAAACGCCGTCATTGCTCTCACTTCATTGAACAACCCTGTGACACTAGTTAGAACAGGCATTATTATTGCAGTGCTTCAAATGAATCTAGAGCCCAGAGGAGTTAAATTGTTTACCTAGGCTCTCAAATAGCTAGAATCAAAAGATGTCAGAGAGATCTCTTGATCTCTGCTTCCTGAACTGGACCATCCTTGTACACATACACTCATGACCCCTGCGAAGTAACGCCTGTAAAAATTGTAACACATTTGGATGAAACTCATGCCACCCCAACCTGTGGATAAAGTTGTTCTGTTCGTTATTTTGAAAGTTTGTTATCTGGATAGTCTTTACTTTCTGCATATATTTCTTTTTTCTTTTATTTAAGCTTTATTGAGATGTAATTCACATACTATAAATTTATACATTTAATGTGTACAATCAATGGCTTTTAGTATATTTACAGTTGTGTAATCTCCATTACTATATATTATCAGAACATTTTCCTCACCCCAAAAAGAAACTTCTTACCCATTAGCAGTCATTCCCCATTTCCCCACAAACCACCTAGCCCTAGTCTACTTTCTGTCTGTATGGATTTGCCTCCTCTGGACATTTCATATTAATCAAAGCATACAATATGTGGTCTTTTGTGACTGACTGCTTTTACTTAGCATAATGTTGTCAAGATTCATCAATGTTGTAGCATGTATCAGAACTTCATTTATTACTGAATAATATTCTATTGTATGGATAGATTACATTTTGTTTATCCATTTATTAGCTGATGGACATTTGGGCTGTTTCTACTTTTTGGCTATTATAAATAGTGCTGCTATGAACATTCGTGTACAAGTTTTGGTATGGACACATATTTTCATTTTCTTGGGTATATACCTAGGAGTGGGATTGCTGGCTTATATGGTAACTCTATATTTAGCCTTTTGAGGAACTGTCAGATGGTTTTCTAAGTGCTTGTACCATTTTACATTCCTACCAGCAATGTATTAGTTCCAATTTGTCCACATCCTCGCCAAGATTTGTTATTGTCTGTCTTTTTCATTATAGCCGTCCTAGTGGGTATGAAGTAGTATCTCATCGTGGTTTTGATTTGCATTTCCCTGATGGCTAATTCATATATATTGCTAATGTTGATAAATCATGCTTTGTAGAGGAAGAATTGGATTCATGTCATAATCATGAATGTACAGATTTTATGATTTTTGAGATTATTTTATTACTGTTGCCCTTCAGAAAAGAACCATGGTATTGAAAAGCTTACTGCCATGTTCCTAAAAGAAATCATATCAACAGCTAATACTTGAGTGCTGTGTACCAGGGCTTGTGCAGATCTCATTTAAACAATTGTATATTATTATGAATAGAGAAAAATAACTTGAAATTCTTCCTCTCTAGAAAAGGTTGTTCTAGTAATGCAAAGTGAAAGTAGGTTTTTTGTTTTTTTTTAATTTATGCATGCAGAATATCCCTTTGTCTTCCAGGTGGTGCCCAGTTTAGAACCTTACGCATAGTCAATAAGAGTGGGCTGGATAAATGAAAATTTAATTAACTAAGTAGTAGTAATAAAAGTAGTTAAAATAGTCCATGTGACCAATTTCTTTTTAATTTCCTAATAGCTGCATGTTACTATTCCCTTACTAATACCATTTTTCCTTCTTTCTGTAGAAATCCTTGGATGAGGATGATCTGGGTCCTAAAAGGGTAGCTGCCCTGCAGAAGGAAGCCAAAGAATGGACTAGACGGGCTGAAGAAGCTATAGTCTCTATTCAGGATATCACAGTGAATTATTTTAAGGAAACAGTAAAGGCATTAGCAGGTATTAATACAAAATGTTTTATTAAGTTACATGTAATTTTCATTTTATTCAGGAAAATCTGAGTTTCTCTTAAGCACCAGGCACTGTATTTTCCAGGATATGCACTGTAAGGATATGCACAGACACTGTACAGTCTGGTGAGGGGAGAGGAATCTTAATTATATATTAACTCAAACAAATGGGAAGTGGCAATGGCAACAAGTGACATGAAGAAGAAAAGTGTGGGGCTCAAAGAGCCTATGAGAGAGAGAATAGGCTCAATCAGGGTGGTCAGCAAAGGCCTCTGAGAAGTGGCACTTGCCGTAATATCTGAAGGGTAAATGGAAGTTAAGAGGGAAAAAGTGAGGGAAGAATGTTCCTGGCAGAAGGAATGGCATTTGCAAAGGCCCTCTGGCTTGAGGGAGCTTGGCAAGTCTGCAGAACCTAAAGACAGCCTGTAAGGTTGAAGCGCAGAGAGCACAGAGGATGTGGTGAGGGAGAATGCTGGCAAGACAGGCAGGGAACAGACCATGTAGGGTCTTGTGGGCTGGTTGAAGGACTTTTGTCTGATCTTAATCCTTGTTGGTAATAAACCAAACCAAACCCGTTGCCGTTGAGTTGATTCTGACTCATGGCAACCCTATAGTTAACATCTGTCAATCAGCTTGTTAAATTGTGGTACATTGATAAAATGGAATACCATGTAGCTATTAAGTAGGACTTTCTAAATCTATTTTTATGAATGGCAGGAGATCCATGATATGTTAAGTGAACAGACAAGCTATAAAACAGAATGATGATTCTGTTTTTTGTCAAACTATCTATATAAGTCTGTCTAGCTAGACATAGAAACAGTCTAGAAGCACATGCACCAACATGTAAGAAGCAGTTGCCTCAAGTAGGTTAGATCATGATTTATTATTTTCTTTTTTAATAGATGATCCAAAATTTTCTACCAAATTGACATTATTTTTGTGATAATAAAGTAATTAAAATAAATTTTTCTTTTTAGACAGAATGTTTTATAGGTAATATAGGCGGTAGTAAACAAAGATTTCACTCAGAGTAAAATTTTCCGTTTTTAGTGAGTTGTAATTTTTAATTTTATTAATTATCCGATAGGAATGCAGAAACAAATGGAACGGGATGAAGAGAGATTTGGCCAAGTTGCCTGGGCTGCAGTAACTCCCAGGTTAGAAAAACTCAAGCAGATGTTAGCTCGAGAGACTCTGCAACTCATGAGAGCCAAAGAGTTGTGTTTAAATCATAAAAGAGCTGAAATTCAGAGAAAGGTAAGACAAAGAAAAATGTAACTTTGTTTTAAAAATGTGTTTTTATTTTTTAGAGCACCTTTATTGCCAGTCATTGTTCAAGAGCTTCCTTTTTTCACTTATGCCAGTACCATCTTGTAGATAAGTAGACCCAAAACCCATTGCCATCAAGTCAGTTTCAACGCATAGCGACCCTATAGGACAGAGTAGATCTGCCCCCTAGGGTTCCAAGGCTATAATCTTTAGGGAAGCAGACTGCCGTATTTTCTCCCACAGAGTAGCTGGGGGTTCAAACCGCCAACCTTTTGATTAGCGGCTGAGCTTTGGAGACTATTGAAAGAGTTTCTCTTTGGTCAAGATTTTTTTGAGTATTTTATTATATTGTATAATTCACTTTATAGTGACATTAAGCTCAGTATTGTGCGTAATGCACTTTAAGATTAATCAAGCAATGTTTTCAGCACAACTCGAATAATCAAAGAGGTGCTTTGTTTTAGGATTATAGTCACTTAATTTTTTTCCTATTATCTATGACTTTAAAGCAGAAAACACTATAAATACCTCATTGTAACTTATTTTTCTCAAAGCCTAAATGTTTTCATGTTTCAAGGATGAGATAAAGTATTTGTAAAGAATATTAAATAAGGCATTTTTGTCTTACTAGATGAAATGGAAAAGTGTTTGCTTTTGTATATTTAGTACTGTGCAAGGAATAGAAAATAGCCAGAATGCTTCTGAAGTTTGCTTTTAATATACTAGGTCTTTTAACTTACTCTTATTTTTCCTATTAAAACAAGATGGAAGATCTTCCAGAACAAGAAAAAAAGATAGATGTTGTAGATGAATTAGAAATACGATATTATGAAGTTCAATTAGAACTATATGAGGTTAAGTTCGAGATATTAAAATATGAAGAAATACTGCTTATTACACAGTTGGACTCTATTAAAAGACTTATAAAAGGTAAAATTTATTTCTTTGTGTATATATTAAAATATCTAAGTTATACACTTAAGGAAATACATACCATATTAGCAATTACTTGTTGTAAATTGTCTGTAACACCTACTGAAATTTCCTAAATAAAATTTCCCTTCAGTATTTTTATTATTCAAATAATGTATTCATCATTAAACATACAGAGAAACAAATGAAAAACAATTATTATCACCTCAATCCCATCATCTAGAGATACTCAGTGATAGCAGTTTGCTGTATAGCCTTCTAGCCTTCTTTGTGTGCTGATATGTATAAATAAATATCAGTTTTTAAACCAAAACTAAACATCCTGTTTAGTAATCTCTTTTTCATTTAATATATAATAACCATTCTTTCCATTTCAGTAAGTAATAAAGACCTCAAAAATATTAATGGCTGCATAGTATTCCATTATATGAGTAGACCATGGTTTCCAGTTTTTCACTGTTGTGGACAGTCTTCTGATTTTTTTCTTGCATTGCAGAAATATTTAATTTTTATGAAGTCATATCTATCGATCTTACCCCTGTGGTTTCTGCTTTTGGTGTTATGCCTGGCAAAGTCTTCCTCATCCCTAAATTATGTGAATATTTACTTATATTTTCCTTTAATAGTTTCATGGTTTTATTTTTTAAATCATTTACTATTCCAGATTAAATTTATTTTGAGATGGGGTAGGAACCTAGCTTTTCCCCCTAAATTGTTAGCAGTCCCAATCACTAATTTTAAAAAAAGTCAAATTTTCTGTACTGTTTTGACTTGCTCCCTGTCTTATATCCAGAATTATTAGACTTTGATCTATCCGTGAATTGTTATTCTCTTCCATTGATTGGGGAATGGCTTCTGGTGCCAGTATCGTACTGTTTTTATTATTGTACTTTGGAAATACATTTTAGTATCTGGTAAGGGGAGCCCTGGTGGCGCAGTGGTTAAGAGCGAGGCTGCTAACCAAAAGGCTGGCAGTTCAAATCCACCAGCTGCTCCTTGGAAATCCTATGGGGCAGCTCCACGCTGTTCTGTAGGGTCTCTATGAGTCGGAATTGACTCTTCGGCAACAGGTTTAGTTTTGGTATCTGGTAAGGCAAGTGCCCTCCTTGTTCCTCTACTTTTTCAGCAGTTTTCTGACTATTCTCACTCCTTTATTCTTCCAGATGAACTTTAGAATCATTTTGGCAAGTTCAAAACAAATAACTCGGAATTTTGATTGGTATTATGCTGAAAATTAGAGATTAATGTGGGGAGAGTTGTCATCTTTGCAATTTTGAATTTTCCCATCCAAGAACATGGTATGTCTCTCCATATATTTTAATTTTTTTTAAGTTCCCCCAAGTTTAATAATTTTCTTTACCTAGATCCTGAATATTTAATTTAATCTTAGATATAAAATTTTTTTTGTAGTAGGTTATAAGCATCTTACATATTTTGGAAAAATTGTCTTTAAAAAAGTTAATCTGGAAGGATGCACACCAAATTGTTCACAATTTTTTTTCCCTGGGAATGGGATTCAGAAGGTTTGGGGAAGGAGGGAGAAAATTCACTTTTTATTTTATGCACTTCTCTAGGGCTTGAATTTGTTATAGTACATGTTACTTTTTTTTTTTAGTCAAAGTGTGTTTAATACCATTTAGGCACCTTCATATACTGCTGATGGAATGTAAGATGCCTTTCTAGAGGGCAGCTGGGCAGTAGGTATCAAAAGCCTTAAATATTCATTTGCTAGGGAAGTGATTAAAAATATACACAAAGATTTATATTCAGAGATGTTCATCACAGTGAAATTTATAACATGGACAATTAAAACATTCTAACAACAGAGAATACTTAAATTAGAGAATACTATGTAGCCATTAAAATTTTGTTTCTATTACATGGAAAATACTCTCAAAACTGTTTATTAACATGAGTAGCTATGTCTGTAGTATGTATGTATGTACATAATTGTTAATAGGGGTTATCCCTGGGTGGTGGGGTTACAAGTGACCTTTACATTCCTTACATTTAGAAAATTATGTGCACTATTTTCATAATAAAGCATACATTTTAAAAATCATTATTGTATTTCTAGAGAAACAGGATGAAGTTATCTATTATGATACATGTGAAAGTCTGGAGGAACTTAAAGTCATTGATGAAGTATTGGGGCCACCGAAGGAAAGGAACTCGGAGGTGAAAAAACTCTGCAGGCAGTCCCAGCAGCTGGAGTCCAAACGAGGCAGGATCTGCGCTAGAAGAGCCTATCTCAGGAACAAAAAGGTTGGTGCACTCATGGTGGCTTTCTTTTTTTTCCCCTTCCAAGATTTTCCTTTTTTATGAAAGATAAAGAGGTAATGAAAATAAAGCTTTTACCAACATAGTGATTTTTCATGTGTTTATGTAGATGTCAGTGACTACAGTTAAAATATATTTTAAATATTCTTGTTAACAGAGTCTTTGTTTTTTGGGGATTTAAGTATTTACCATAATCACCAGATTTTAATTCAGTCATTCAACAACAGGCATCTTTAAAATCACAATAGGAATATATTCTCAACAAAAATACATTATTTTTTTTAAAAAAAGACTATAAAGATAATAATTCTGAAAAAGTTATAGTGGATAGTACTGCTGTATATCAGGAATTGGTAAATTACAGTCCTCTGTTTTTCTAAATGTTCTAAATAAAGTTTTATTGGAAAACACACACTCAAACAATAAAATCACCAAACCAAAACCAAACCCACTGCCATCAAGTTGATTCCAATTCATAGCAACCCTTAGAGTAGAACTGCCCCATAGGTTTCCAAAGCTGTAAATCTTTATGGAAGCTAACGGCTACATCTTTCTCCCTTGGAGCGGCTGGTGGGTTTGAACTGCCAGTCTTCTGGTTAGCAGCCGAGTGCTTTAACCACTGTGCCACGAGGGCTCCCTCAAATCAAATCACAATAGGTAAAAAGTTTATATTTAATAATCAGCTATAGTAAATTCTAAAGTTTATTTTATTGTGCTTTAAGTGGAAGTTTACAATTCAAGTTAGTTTCTCATACAAAAATTTATACACATTGTTGTGTGACCCTAGTTGTTCTCCCTACACTGTGCCAACACACTCCTCCTTTCCACCCCAGATTTCCCGTGTCCATTCAGCCAGCTTCTGTCCCTTTTTGCCTTCTCGTCTTGCCTCCAGACAGGAGCTGCCCATTTAGTCTTGTGTATCTACTTAAGCTGAGAAGCACACTCCTCACAAGCATCATTTTCTGTCCTATAGTCCAGTCTAATCTTTGTCTGAAGAGTTGGCCTCGGGAATGGTTTTAGTTCTGGGCTGAGACACCACGGGCCATGTATTCCGGGGTCCCTCCAGTCTCAGGCAAACCATTAAGTCTGGCCTTTTTACTAGAAAATTTATTTTAAATTGTTGATTAGAAAATATCAGTCACAGATATAATATGCAGCTCATTTCAGTCTTTGTATTTGGTGAGTGATTTTTTTTATTTTTGACTTTTTTTTTTTAAATTGTACTTCAGGTGAAGGTTTACAGAACAAGTAGTTTCTTATTAAACAGTAGTACACATATTGTTTTATGACATTGGTTAACAACCCCACAACATGTCAACCCTCTAACTTCTCAACCTTTTTTTTTGGTGAAAATACACATAGCCAAAGATACACCGTTTCAAAAATTTCTGCATGCGCAGTTCAGTGACATTGACTACACTCTTCCAGTTGTGCTGCTATCCTCCCTTTAGAGGAAGGTTTACAGAACAAAATAGTTTCTCATTAAACAGTACACATGTTGCCCTATGATGATGGTTAACAGCCCCACTACACGTCAACACTGTCCTTATTCAACCCTGGGTTTCCTATGGTGAGTGATTTTTTTCTTAATGTTTAAAAATTTTGATTATATAAAAAGGTAACACAGAAAGAAATTTTTTTCAATAGAAAAGTTGCCTATATTTCATTTTTGTCCAGACTTTTATGTGTATTGTATTTGTTATACTTTTCTTATTGGAATGAAAAAAAAATGAAAATAATGGCTTACAAAAATGTACATTACTCTTCCATGTTCCACGGAAATATAAATACTTTAAAAAAAACTGTGTTGAGAGAATATATTCTTTGCAGGTCTGAGTTTAAGAATTGTAGCTTCGGGATTTAGGAGCTGTTCTTCAGATGATTTAAAGATATACAGGCCTTTGCCCTTTGTTCCCCATTTCAGAATACACAAGGGTATTGAGAGAAGTCTCCTTTCCATGGGAATGTAGAACTGTGGGGAGGTGGAGGTACCTCTACCTCCTTCGAGGTACAACTGTGGAGAACTGTCTTCTCTTATACAGACTTGGGAGTGTTAACCTTCACCCTCCAGATAGAATCCCTCCCCCTGCCCCAGTCAGGGGAGTTCCTACCACTGAGTTCTGGACATGCTGGAATTTGGAAGGCACTGGGTTAATAGAATGTGGTAACTGAGGTCAAGCTCTGGAGTCCATCTTGGCCTCAAATCACAGCTTGGCCACTTGGTAGCTGTGTAACCTTAGGCAAATTACTTAAATCTCTTTGAACCTGGTTTTCTCATCTGTTAAAAGAGGATAATAATAGTAATAATACCAATCTCATGGTTATTATGAGGATAAAATAGCATATGGAAAGTTAAGTACTTGGCATTGAGGCTGGGACCTAAAACATAATCAATGTTTGTATTATTATTACTGTATTATTTTCCCCATATATTAAGGATTACGGAGGGTAGCTAAGCATAGATGAAATACAGTTTTAATATAATTTTTTATTTATTTTAAAGCTGGATATGCTTATGTAGATATGTTTGGGAATCTAATTATTATTTATAACGTGGAGAAATGTATTTAAAACAACCACAATGAAACAGATTCTTAGGACACATTGCATTTAAGAATGGGGGACTGCCTGTATGTCCTCTTGTTTCCACCTGGTTGGAGGATTTACCTTTTCATCTCAAAGCACTAAATCACAGCTGTGGTCCTCTTGACCAGAACAAATTACATTCCTATAAGCAGCCAATCAGCCCTTATCAAATGACTGTGGAGGAGGCAGTACCATTAAGCACACCAGAAACTCATAATACTGAATGCTGTGCACTACAGCGCAAATGCAGTGCTTTGTTCTTTTAACTGTTTATACAATGGCCCGTGATAATATTAAAATCCACATAGGTGATTTGTATTATTCCACCAGGATCAGTGCAAAGAAAATCATCGGCTCAGATTGCAGCAGGCTGAAGAAAGTACAAAACATTTTCATCAGCATCATAGTACTGAGATGGTGAGTAAGCTGAAGGAAAATGTCTTCTGTTTGCATAATGTGACACGCTAGCCTGAACTTGGAGGAACTGATGCGCCCCAACCTGGGCTTGCAGCTGTCGGGGGGGTGGGGGGGTGATAATGTGAGGTTACAGCCCCTTTCTTTGTCAAGACTTTTATTTTGAGAAATTCACAAGTCTTTGTTTAAATATAGAAAAGAGTCAAGATAAAAGAAGAGGAGCAAAAGAAAAAAGAATGGATAAATCAAGAACGCCAAAAAACACTCCAGCGATTAAGAGCATTTAAAGAGGTGAGTTCTTGAGATAATCACCTCACCTACATTTTCTAGGGAAATAAATGAAGATCACCTGACCTAGGAGAAACGCATCACATATTATGAACAGATAATTTAGGACACAGAATGATTCAAGAATGCCATTATTTGTGGTATAAACCAAAAAAACAAAAACCAAACCCATCGCCGTCGAGTCGATTCTGACTCTTCGTGACCCTGTAGGACAGAGTAGGACTGTCGCATAGGGTTTCCAAGGAGCAGCTGGTGGATTTGAACTGCTGGCCTTTTGGTTAGCAGCCGAGCTCTTAACCGCTGTGCCACCAGGGCTCCATTTGTGGTATAGACATTTTAAAATATATATATATGTATGTATATTAGAATATCAAGATATCAAGATGTTTTGACATAACACACTTGGGTTCCTGCTCTTCTCTCCTCACTGGGTAGTGCCAGCTGTGGCCACCATGGTTTAGACCAGCAGGGACAAGTGAAAATAATTAAATTGCCTTCAACTCTAACTGGCTTTTTTCCTCATTTGTAAGAAAGAATTCTGTAAAATGCCATCAAGGAAACATTCTGACATAAGTAAAGTGCCCTGTTAAAAGTGAAGAGGGAGGAAGAAAGTGAATAGGTACATGATACTGGTTGAGCCCAGAGAAGCTGTTCTTAAATATCTGAAGGGCTGTCATAAGGTAAAGGACTTAATTTGTCCCCAGGGAGACAGACTGCCTGACAATATAAGGCAGAACATAGCAGTCGAGGTCACAACTACATGCTGCTGCCAGGATGCCAAGTGGGGGACTCTTGGGTGTTTGGGGGATCCCCAACATCAGAAAGTCAGACCACCGCAGGATTAAGGAGCCCTCCCTCCGGCCCAGAGATTCTGGGATTCTAATTATACTGTTCTGTTATCTACAGGAAGCTGCAAGGTGATAGCATGCGTGACTCATGTCTGCATCAGTGATGTGTGGTGCTTATTACTGTTATTTGCTGTTTGTTCTGAGAAGACTTAGAAGAATGTGGGAGAGAGAAATGTTGAGTTTATCATAAATTGCACTTCTTTTGTGTGTTTAGAAATTTGAATTAATAGTATCATATTTTATGCATCTTTTGCTGGTTTTTTTCACTCAAAATTATGTTTTTGAGATATATTCAAGTTGATATGTGCAAATCTTGTTCATTTTAATGGCTACATAGTATTACATTGATGTGGTGTTTTATTGGGTAGTCAGTGCCTTCTTTAGGGGATCCTTCCCCCAGATTAGTACTTTGTGAAGTTAGGTGTTTATTAAATTAATATCTGAGCAAGCAGAACTTTAAAAATTTACACTTTTAAATGATAAAATTTACTGTAAGTCTAAAAATTAGAGAAAAGAAACATTAATTCCCCCGTTACAGCTGTCACTTGTATGCCTGCTCTGCTGGTATTTTTCATTGACCTGTTTTTCATGTGGTTATGAGTCTAGTGTATGTTGTTTTGAGTCCTGTTATTTTAACACTGTATCGTCTGTTCAGGGTGTTTCACAGACTTTGTACTATTTATTTTTTATTTTTAATGGCTGCTTAATATTTGGGACAAATTTGCCACAATTTTTTCAACTAACTTCCTATTGTTGGTATTTAGAGTTTCTGATTTTTCACACTGAACATATTCATACTAAATATGATGAATATGATCATTCATATATATTTTATTACAGAGAAGACACTACTTGATCAAAGGATATAAATGCTTATTTTTTAGCATTTGAAAAATAGATTTAGTAGCAAGGTGCCTGTACAAAGCGAGAAAGAGCCATTTTGTGAATTAGAACAGCCTATCCATAGATGGAGCCCTGGTGGTGCAGCAGTTAAGAGCTTGGCTGCTAATCAAAAAAGGTCAGCAGTTCAAATTCACGAGCCGCTCTTTGGAAACCCTATGGGGCAGTTCTACTCTGTCCTGTAGGGTCACTATGAGTCGGAATCAACTCAACGGCAATGGGTGCTTTTATACGTAGATACTCTTTAGTGTTCTTTTATTTATAGGCTTCTTTATAGGAAGTTTCTGCATTTTGATGGTTTGCATTTGTGCCAAGGTTCTCATGACAGTTTTTCATTTTCAGAAATGTCCAGGTCGGTCTGTACTAAAAAATTCTTGCTCAGAACCTGTGACTCCAAACCTGCCAGGTGAACTTTCCCAGCAGGCATCCCCGCCGGCTTCTCAGACTGTGTCAGTAATTCATCCGTCGTCTAAGAAAACCAGAAGTACTCCCTCATCTAAAGTTAGTAATGTGAAAAGCCCCAGGTGTCAAGACTATCCTGGAAATATCCCTGTCCAGAATTTTGTTCCAGTTGGTGACCACACACACTCCAAATCCAGTGAGGAATTGTCACTGCCATCACCTCCTCCTCCACCCCCACCTCCTCCTCCACCCCCACCCCCTCTCCCATCACCTCTTCCTACTCGGCCCTTTTCTTCTCAATCTGTAACTCATCGGAACCTACACTTCAGGACTTCAGTAAAAGATGATCAGCCACTTCCTCTGGTCTGTGAATCACTTCCTGAGAGACCGCGTGATTCCTCTGAAAGTTTTAAATGCTCAGGTAATCCGCTGGAATTCTGTGTGTTCTCCCCCTGGGCTGTTACGCTGTTGAAGCTTTCTAGATTTAGAAGCCGACATCTTCAAATCAGAATTCTCTACAGTCTTAACATATGACAGTATTTGTGCCTTAGGTATTACTTGTTTATTGCAAAGTTAGTGTGGTCTAAATCTGAATTTGATAAATGCTAACTCATCTTGAAAAAACATCTCAACACACTTAATGGTCACATGACTTGGGATCTCTGAGGCTGTTAAAGAATCAACCTATTTCATGTTTCTTAAGACTTCAGTATATATTTGATTTCTGTTAGTTGAATGTTTTTCAACACTGCTTGGAATTAAGCTTACTGTTGCATCTCTGAGTCATTTACAGAATTAAATTATTGCATTTTAAGCAGAATATTGGTTGAGAATTACTGTAGAGGAATATTAACCAGAATGTAGGAGGCTGTTCTGTGACAGGTAGACTGAGAACCTTACACTGGGAATCTTTCTAAAATGTAGTGGATCCAGAAAAAAAAGTAGTGGTCTACTTTTTGCCTTGACAAGTACAATACACTGAATACAACTGAATATTCTTTTGTTTAATAAGGTTATAGTTCTGATTGTAATTACGGCTTTAGATATTGACTGCTTAGGAAATTGGCCTACATCTGCCCAGACGCCAAGCCTACTGCTTTGGGGTTTATTTCTGTGTGTGTGCGTATGTTTTAGATAAATTCTAGCAAAATGCTGTGTACAGTTATTTAATGAATACATTTGAGCACCTCCACCTAGAATATGCAAGGTTTTTGTGACAGGTGATATGAATGATAGAACTATAACAGTTTCAGACTGTTCTGGTTACTCTGAGTTCAGGGTTTCACGGGACCTAGAAGCAAGTATGAGTGAAATGTCCACACTATTGAATGGAAGACCAAATGGCCTGTCTCTGTTACCTAACAATGTTGGGTAAATGAAAAGCAAGAGCTCGTGTGCCTGTGCCTAGATCAGAGTTTGGATGTGGGCAGATCTTTGGGTACGGGCTTAATCCCACCTGGGTTTAATACACAGCAATGTTGGGAAGCTGTGTTCAAGTACTGCCTCATTTCAATGAAAAGAAGAATAAGAAAGTGTGAATTACCACCAGAAATAGCCTTGGTTGTGAAACTCTGTCGTTACATCCAGAAGGGAATTGTAACAAGTTACAGGCTTAAATCCAAAGTGAAATAGCGTTTTCTTAGCCATAGCATGGTTTTTAAATCCTGAACTAGAAATAACTATCAGCCATGAGGCCTTACTGGAAGATCTTTCAATTAGTGGCTGCAATCATGCCTCTGTCTCCAGCAGGTGATAAAGATTTTACCTGCTCAGTGATCTCAAAGTGGCAGAAAAGTGAAAAATAACTTCTCTTCACCAAAGCCTTGAAACTCTGATCTAATTTGTGTTTTGGCAGCATTTTACACCCTCCACACTAGAGCATGTAAGTTACCTTAGGGTGGCATAGGTGGAATGAAACCCACATAGTGCAGAATGTGCCATTGCCACCCCTCCCGGGTCACTGAGCTACTGATTAAAGTTTTACTGTAAGCCTTTTCATGTGTGGAAACCTACTCACTTCACTGTCATAGAATGAGTCCTCAACCACTAATATCCAAGACTGAAGTTAGATATAAAATCAAAACCAAACCCACTGCCGTTGAGTTGATTCCAACTCATAGCTACCCTTTAGGACAGAGTAGAACTGCCCCACAGGGTTTCTTTCCAAGGCTGTAAATCTTTACAGAAGCAGGCTGCCACATCTTTCTCCCACAGAGCAGCTGGTGAGATCGAACTGCCAACCTTTTGGCTGAGTGCTTAACCACTGCACCACCAGGGCTCCTTTAGAGAGATATAGTAGGGTGAAATAAAAAATTTTTAAAGGATGAAGGGAAATGACTTTTGTCTTTGAAAGACACCAAATTCATGTGCATTGGATTAGATTATTTACACCCCACCAAAAACCAAACCAAACCCATTGCCATCAAGTCGATTCTGACTCATAGAGACCCCCATAGAGTTTCCAAGGCTATAAATCTCTATGGAAGCAGACTGCCACATCATTCTCCCACGGAGCCGCTTGTGGTTTCGAACCGCTGACCTTTCGGCTAGCAGTTGATCGCTTTAACAACTGCACCATGAGGGCTCCTTATTTACACCCCAGGCATCCATATCTCTCTTCAGAATCACGTGAAAAGAATTCAGTGTATTTGTCTTGAAAAACAATTACTCTAACAAAAGGTTTGCATGACTGTGCCTCTAAGTTGCTATGGATTTTAAGAAGTTAGTGGAAAATAGGTGGTCAAGAAAAATATTAGCTATTAAACTATCCTGGATTCAAACAGGGAGCTTATCATTGATTTGTCTAACAGATAATCAGAGCATTTGTTTAATGGAATGATGATTACTTGTTTAAATCATGACATTAACTGGTGTGTGACTTAACTTCACCTAGTACAATAGTGTTCTGGCATCTAGGGGAGAGAGTCTGTTATGTTGGTAGTACTTGCTCTCTTTACTCTGTTTCAGGATCTATGGATGAAGTGTTGGCCTTATTAAGGAGTGGCAAAAGCCCTCTCCAGAAAGTGGACGTGCCCACTTTGCCCTCTCCCCGCACCTCAGTCAATGAGCACCTCCTGGCTGCCATTAGGCAAGGAGTCAAACTGAAGAAGGTTCACCCAAACTTGGGCCTGAGCCCCAGCCACAAACCACCCACCGACCTTGAGAGGAGCATCAAGGCGGCTCTCCAAAGAATTAAGAAAGTGTCTGCTGACTCCGAGGAGGAGGATGGCAGTGAGCAGAGTTCCAGTGAGTGGGACCAATAGGCTCTTCTCCAAGGACAGGGCACCCACCACAGTGTGCTTGAATGAAGAAAGAGGGGCTCAAGCCTTTTCTTGAAAAGCATATATACAGGCTGCTGTCAGACTGGCCACATAACAGCCTGAAAGATCTACAGGGTTTTGTGTGTGATGTTGCAGCTTTTATTTGATGTTGTGGCTCTTAAAATCGGGGAAGGAAGTAGAGGAGACGTGTTGACTTCCCCATGCAAAGCCAGAGTTGGAATATAAAAGCCCACAGAATGTCTTGCTGGCCTAAGAAAATAGTATTTATATTTCACCATGGATAATCTAGAATCGTTCCCTGATTCTGAAAAAAGTTTACATTATTATGGTAAACAGCACTATTAGACTACTGACGGTGCTCCGTGTGTGTGGAATAGTTGTTTCCTCAGATTTAGAAGTTACAATGTGAACATTATTTTAGCAATAATCAGAATAAATTGCTTATATTCAGAAATTATTTTAAATATTTTAAATTTATTTTCTGTATCAGGCACTCTATAAAATCATAATAAAGAACTATTTATAATGTATCAGTGTATTTCATGAGGAAATGAAAATATAATATCCTAACTGATGTAATCAATTCCCTATGGTTTGCAAAGCAAAACCGTCCCTGCCTGGGTAGGTTTAAAATTTCTAATAAGATTTCAGCTAAATAATTTGTTTAAGCAAATAGTAAGGATGGGGGAATAGCTCTTCCCCTCAGGAATTGAGGTTTCATGCTGGATATCTCTTCCCCTCCTTGCTTCAGGTTAAAGTGAGGAAGGGGAAGGGAGCCAGTACAAGGCAGTCTGCTCTTTTCTCTAATTGTCCGAAGTGTCCCCAATGACATCATAACCCTCACTCTTTATCATGTCAATCCTGGGTTTCCAAGAATAAAATGAATCTACCCTCCTTTATTTCCAAAGAAAAGTCTAAAGTATAGACCAAAAGACTTCCTACTTCCAATTTCTTCTCAACTAACTCTGCCCTGTCTAGCCTGCTAGCCCTCACCTAGCCTAGCTAGGAGGGGTCTGGGCCCTTCAGCAGCTGCAGCCTGGACCTCCTCCATGTCGTGGGTGGGGATCCCTCAGCGTTGCCACTAACATGTTGCCCACAGGTCTATTGTGTGGCCTACCTTCCCTGACTTCAAAGGATGCAGGCATAGATCCCAACTCTGTACGTGAACGTGCCTCACTCTGCCAGCCTGGACCTGATGCCGCTGTGGTGTCTGACAGACCAAAAAAGGTCGGCAGTTCGAATCCACCAGCCGCTCCTTGGAAACCCTACGAAGCAGTTCTACTCTGTCCTATCAGGTCGCTATGAGTCAGAATCGACAGCAGCGGGGTTTTTTTTTTTTTTTTTGGCTTATTCATTGTGCCATAACTTTTTATTGGGTTTGAACTTGGAGAGAACTGTAATTAAAATGCTGCATACATGCATTTTTTACTTTGGCCCCTATCCCTTTACTAAAACAGTGATCTCAAAGGACAAAATGTTTTCCTTATTGTCCATCATATGGCCTTCACTCAGTCCTCAGAGTATGTAACTTCTCTGCAGCACTTCATACCAGACACCGGTGCTTCCTCAGTTCCAGCCACCACGGTCTCCAATGTGGATTACCATGAGCTCTGGCTCATTAACTGGGCTCCTGACCTTGTATTCCAATCCACAGTCACAGTCCATCTTGTAATGTGGAGAATGACTGTATTTTCTTGAACTCTGTCGTTCCCAGGGTAGGTGCCTCAGACACCATTGCTCCCATGGCCGGTCAATTCTGTAGTGTTCTGGAAGTCACTCCTAAACACTGACTCTACTTCCCAGACCTTTCGATGATGACATAAATGCCTTGTATTAAATATTTGGAGAAGTTTTTGTTTCCTGCATGAAATCTGATGATGTCATAGGTACTCCATAAGTATTTCTTGAACAATTGATTTGGAAATTCCTGACTTGCATATCAAAAAGTGACTTATCACTTTGATTGCATATAATAAGAGCTGCTGTTAGCTGCCATTGCAGATTCCAGTTTTCACCAACTCTTCACCTCTTTCTTAGCATCCTCTGCACTCCCACCCCTTTCATCTGAAACGTGGAGTACCTTAGCCTCCGTCTATGCCATTCCTTATGGACCCCACACTGTCATCTTTAGGTACCCAGCAATGTCATGCACTTCATTATCCTTAATAAAGGGATCTTATATCACTTATTTCTAACCCGAAAGTGAGTTGAAGGAAATATAGGTTCTCTCTCCTTGAGGTATGTTTCCCATGAGCTCTGTATCATTCTGGTAGAATGGGAGACTTTGCATGTTGTAGAAAGGTCATGGGATCTGGAATCAAATAGACCTGGCTTCAAACCTGTTCACTCCAGTTCAAACTCCTGCTGAGAATCTGTACCTCTAACAATTTCCCTGCTGAGAATCTGCATATCCACCTCAGATATTCTAATCAGAATCAACATTTTAACAAGATCCCCAGGTGATTCTTATGTATAAGTTTCTGGGAACTTGTTAGAAATGCAAAGTCTCAGCAGGAAACCTGTCAGAAATGCAGATTCTCAGCAGGGGATCAAACCTGACCAAAGGGGCTAGAAGCCCAGCTTCAAAATCTTTTTAACCTTACTGTGTTTTAACTGAAAGTTTACAGAGCAAATTAGTTTTTCATTCAAAAATTCATACCCAGAGATGTCCAGGCAACATGGCACTACAGACAGAAGCACCACGCTGTCCCTCCACAGCAAAGATCTGAAAAACTAAGTCAAACAGAGACAAATGTCAATCCTGAAACCCTAAGCATCAAATGAAGAGATAAAGAACTCAGGCAAGCACCGAACAGAACAAGAAACTGACAAGAAAACAGAGAGTGAGGAGAGATAAATGCAGAGGTCTCTTATCAGCTAATACAGCATGGATCTGCCATCTTGGACTCCTGTCAGAGATCAGAGAGTACAGGAAAGCAGCTTCACGGAGCTCCCAGCAGGAGACAGAACAACCAGTAACCAGCGATATATGCTTTCCCACCCCCCACCAGTCTTCACCCCTACTTGGCCTCCTCTGCTTTCTGTGGCCACAGTCTCTTGGCCTGGAAGCACTGGCTTTACCCCTGTGCCACTTGGATTCCACCCACCTGTGCTCTCTGGCTCCCTGAGTGCCATTTGTTGGTTGCTAGTGTTGCTTTTTCCTGCTTCTTATGGTTTCTTCCATACCTCTCACCACCTCCCCCTCCTTTCTCTCAAATACCTGGCTCTGTGTGCCATCTTTGCTTCTTCCTGAAAGGCTGTGAAATGCCACTCAACTGTGGAACTGCTTCCCAGCCCGTGCCACCACACTGGTAGGATCCCCAGGGCTTTTGTTTTGATTTGTTCTGTTTCAATTTTTCTTTTTCTTTTCTTGGCTTGGGAGCCCCTTCTAGCCAGGCAGTACTGTGTGGCTGGGGAGCTACTCCCTCAATCTGTGCAGTCACACAGTGGGATCCCTGGGGGCATTTCTTTTTTCTTATTTGTTTTTACATTTCTTTTTCCGTTTTTGTCTTTCTTCATTTCTGAGTTTCTCATCTCTCTATACTTACCTTCTCTTCCTGTCTCCTGAATACCTGGTACTGTGTGATACCTCTACCCCTTCTATCCAGGCTGTACTTCACAGCCTGGGAGCAACTTCCCCAGTCCTCGCAGCCACACCGGTGGGATCCCTGGGGGCTTTTTTTTTTTTTCCTCTAATTTTTATTCTTTTTTCTTTTTGTTTTTCTCCATTTCTCAGTCTCTCATCTCTCCACTCCAATGGTAAGCTCCCTTAGCACTCTTTTTTGTTTGTATGTTTTTGGCTCCTGTTCTTCTCTCCTCTTTCCCATACCCATCTTAGCTCCACACATCACAGCTTCCCCCCTCCTTCCTGCCTACCTGCACCGTGCACTGAACATCATACCCCCAAGCAGCACAGGCACGGCCTACCTGTCCTGCACTGATTTCCAGCCCACCCTGTTGGCCCTAGTACATGCCACAAACAACTCATCCCAGCAACTCCCCTTCAACTGGATCTGGCCTGCTGTACCATACCTGAGCAACTGACCCTGCCCATTGGAGGAGGTAAAAAGTATCGTGCCCACAGATGAGCAAACAACAAAGAATGCAGTCCACCTGCTCACTTAACCAAATAAAACAAAAAAGATGGACGAAAAAAATCCACAATCAATAAATGAGGAAAGTAACTACTGAATGTCCTGAAGACAGCAGACAATATCAAAACATATTAAAAAAAGGACAAAATGGTTCCAGGAGGCATCCAAAAGAAAACACCAGATAACTTTCCAGTAGAAGAAAAGGCACTAGAACTACCTGATAGGGAATTCAAATCTCTAATATTCAGAGCTATCCAAGAGTTGAAGCAAAAAGCAGACAAAAATGAGGAAAAAATAGACAAATTCATGGAAAAGAGAAAAATTCATGGAAAATACAGACCAAAAAGGCAAGAATTCAGGAAAATAGTACAGGAACAAAATGCCAAAATAAATTCACAACTAGAAATCATACAAAAACAACAATTAGAAATCCAAAAGATAAACAACAAGATTTCAGAAATCTATAGTATCGTAGAAGGGCTGAGGAGCAGGTTTGAAACGATGGAAGAAAGGATCAGCGAAATTGAAGACAAATGCTTAGATACAACTCTGAGGAAAAATCAGAAAAAAAGAATGAAGAAAAATGAAGAAACCCTGAGAATTATGTGGGATACAATCAAAGGCAAAAATTTGCGGGTGATCGGAGTTCCAGAATGGGGAGAAAACAGAGAGGATCACTGAAGAACTGCTGACAGAAAACTTCCCCAATACCATGAAAGATGAAAAGCTGCCCATCCAAGAAGCTCAACGAACCCCTTATAGGATAGACCCAAAGGAAAATCACCAATGCATATCATAATCACACTCGCTAAAACCAAAGTCAAAGAATTCTGAGAGCAGCCTGAGAAAAAAAGTCACATTCAGAGGAGAAACAGTAAGACCAAGCTCGGAGTATTTGGCAGAAACCATGCAGGTAAGAAGGCAATGGGATGACATATATAAAACCTTCAACGAAAAAAAAACACCAGCTAAGAATAATATATCCTGCAAAACTCTTGTTCAGATATGATGGTGAAATTAGGACATTTCCAGATAAACAGAAATTAAGGGACTATGTAAAAACCAAACCAAACTTACAGGAATTATTAAAAGGAGTCCCTCAATCTCAGAACAAACAACATCAGACCACAAGCTGAATCTAGGATGCACGATCGTACCAGCCAGATACCAACCTAGGAAATGAACTCTCAACGACGATCCAAAACCAAAAGAATTACAATAGGGAACCAGAGAGGTTAATCTGTAAATGACAACAACATCAGAACAATAAAAGAGGGAATAAATGGTGTAGGTATAGAACCTTCCAATGGAGAGGAAGGCAAGGCGATACCAAGTAATAATAGGCTGCTTCAAACCTAGGAAGATATGGGTAAATTTCAAGGTAATCACAAAGAAAGTTAACAAACCTACTCATCAAAATCAAGAAGAAAAACATAAAGTTTCCGTAAAAACAAAACCTACAAAAAAAAAGAAATGAAAAAAAAATCCACAAACAAAAGGAATTCAGCACAGGAGAGTAAGAGAAACAAAAAAACATCAGCACCACAAAAAAAAGTACTACAAAATGACAGCAATAAACTCACACCTATCAATAATTACACTGAATGTAAATGGCCTAAATGCACCCATAAAGAGATGGAGAGTGACAGAATGGATACAAAAACAGGATCCATCAATATGCTGTCTACAAGAGACACAACTTGGAAACAAAGATGTAAATGTATTAAAAATCAAAGGATGGA